TATTGCTCAATAAGTATGTTGTGGCTTAAGTAATATAATAGTTGCGAGTTTGGATTAACATTCATCAGCATAGGAATGGTAGCTATCTCGTCGCCTTCGTAACACTTGCAATGGCTGAACATCGAAGAGAATTATCACTTATTGTTATTACTAATATTGCTTATGAATGATTAAAATACGATATAAGTATTCCAGAGAATAAAACCGATGCTGAATCACCGTACTGTATCATTGCTGGTTAGTTTTGTTCATTTGTGAAGTGTTTTTTTGTGTTTCTGTAGATGGATCAAGTGCGAGTGTAAAGCATCCAAAATTGGAGCAGATCCATTGAAGAATTGATCAGTTCTCCGGTGATTGACACAAATAATTTTGTGAATGTTTTTTTCATTTAGTTTGGTTTGAATGGGTAATGATCTCAAAGCGAACGATATTCTAATGCAGAAGTAGGTTGACTTATTGTTGGGCAGAGGAAACTGTCTCTGTCAGCAATAAGTTGTTTTGTTTATATGAACAGCTATTTGAGGTTGCAACATTAAGAGTGGAATGCGAAATGCGAAATCGTTAAATGAAAATGATTATGAATTGTATTTGTTGCCGAACGACGTCGTGGAACGTGGCAAATGGTTAGCTGCAATTCGAAAAGGAAGGCCAGATTTCACGATACCCTCCGTACCGTCATTGTCAACTCGCAACAAATTTTACGTTTGTGAAAGGCATTTTTCAACTAAGAAGGTTTGTTATTGTTGTTTGCATTTCAGCGCTTATTTCTGTTGTCATTTGTTCATTGAGAACTGATCAAATTCTCGTAACTTTCAATTAGTCACTGTAGTGGGGTTGTTAGTTTTGGGCAAGAAATCTATTCGGCGCGATAACCGAGTGCAGAAACCAATGATGGGGAATAGTTATTCTTGATGAATCGATGTAGAATCAATATTATACCAACTTTATTAAACAGGGCTGCTAACGAGCAGCCGAAAGTTTAAAATTTTGGGATTTCGATTGTTTGATTAAAAACTTCAACGATTATTTTTGTGTTTTAATCTATACGCGTTTAGTTCTCTTTCAGTTCGACATACCCGTAAAACGTTTAATGCCAAATGATAATGAAAACTCTTCATCAAACACTGGTTGGTTTGCTGCATCATTTTGGTGGAACATTTTAGTTTTTATTTTCCCAGAAGAAAATTTTAGAAATTCAGTCTCTAATAGTAATCGATGAATTTCTTTTTCATTTTTCATTGATTCGTTTTTTCTTCTGTAACGGTCGAAGATACTTCATTTTATAATTTCATTCCGTCACCATCTTTTAGAAACATCCGACTCGGATTCGGATGAAGAAATAATCCCAGAGGAGACAACTTTAACGGCTGAGCAGAAAGAGGTATGATTGCATTGATAGTGGTCTTAACTTTATTCTGATTCGATTTTTCATGTTTTTTCAATCATTTCTTGGCCAACTTATCGTTGTTTTTTTTAAAGCGGATGGATATTGTGGGGACTTGTCAGTAATTTTTGATCAGCAAATTTTCTAGACGAATACTTACAAATTTGAATTGGTAACATGTCTTAACGGAGCTTTGAAATGTTGCCGAAGGTTTTTTCGGCGAAGAAATTCGAGGTTTCATAAGAAATTTTGACTTTCTCAGCGTTTTGTTCTCAATTATTAATTAACCAACCAAATATTCTGCTGAGTGTGTTAAAATCAGCAATAATGGAATATAGAACCCAGTCAATGGTGTATTCAAATGCAAACTTCGTGGATATTTGAAATCGGAAAGTGTTTGGTGATCAATGTGTTATGAGAGCATCATCTCTTAACTCTTGTCATTTTTATGCTGAAAAAGCTGTTCGAATTGAATAAATTTGATCAGTAAAGCGGTATCGACTGATTCAGAAGTATCGATCCCTGATGACAATTGTGTTGGAACGGAGACCAATGTTCAAGTGTTTGGTGCGGTGTTGTCCAATCACGAATCATTTGGTTAAACCGGATCAACTTCGACCTTACACCTTCTTTGAATTACCACGTAAGTATACATTCAGATGGTTTTATGTCATCGAGAAGTTGTTTCTGGAAAAGCAAATTTGATCATTTGTATGTTTTTTTGGATAGTTTGTCCTCCAAATTTTCATCACATTATATTCGTTCTTAAAAAAACTTGATCATGTTTTGTTAATATGAAACTTAATTATTCATATTTGTTGCATATGTCATAAATGACAATTTTTTCGAGTAGTCAATAAATAATTTCAAGGTATCCCAACAGTTCGAGCGCATTGGTTGGATGCATTGTATTTGTCTGATTCTGCTTTCGAATTTCCACCGCCATTGATTGGATGCGGTAAATATGCAGTTTGTGAACGACATTTCTGTGTTGGGAAGTAGGTTAATTGTTAATTTTGGTTCGATTTCGGTCAGATTTTTGAATCGATCGCAGGAATTCGTTGATCAATTCAATAATTGTAGGTTGAATGCGAGCACATCTCGAAAAGTGCCTTTCTCTGTGATACCAACTGTGAATTTAACACCACAAAGTGCTCGGAATATTCAGTTGGACGCTAAATGTTATTCATTAATATTATTATTAGTTGTTATTTTATTGCCACCTGACTGATTGAAATGAATCTAAAATCTGTTTAAGTGCCTCCGTCTCAAACAACGGCGCTACGAATGAAAGCAATCTCGAGGTGTATGAACAATCACAGCGATCAGCAGCTGAAACGCGAAATGAGAGCCTTGTTCACAAGATGGTGTTGTCGTGAGGTCATTGAAGTAGCAGTGTTCATTTGTGTATCCCTATTTTGCATTCATTTATTCATTAGTTGATGACTGTTTAGATTTCAGTGTGCTCATTAACCCATTTTCAAAAGTCATTGTATGACTTCAGGTACCCGAAATCCACAAGATCATCGCTCGTTTATCATGCAAAATCGATCGTCTCCATGACTTGGTTGTTCGATTGTGCGGTGTTTATGGAGTTGAGGTGTGTTTATGTCAAACGATTGCTGCTATATGATTAGAATAAAGTAAACGGTAATATTGGTATCGGTGATGAATGGTTGTGCATGCGTACATGTATGTGTTTCAGCCAGTGTTTCCAGCAGAATTCGATGCATTGGAAGATGATCGTGTTTATGGCAGGAATGCGGTGGTGGGTTCGTTGATGCCGAATGCATCAGAAGCACTCCAGTTGGAAAAAGCACTCGAAGGGTTGATTGCTATCACAGCGAATGTGACCACTGATAACAAATCACAGGCCGCTGAAGTGAGCGCTTTATACGGTTATTATTGATCACGAAGAAAAGTTAGCAGCACAAAGATATTGCTTGTAACAAAGAGGCATGATATTCATCAAACGGGACGAGTGAATGTTCAGGTAAGTAATGGACGTGATCAAGGTTCGTCGTTATTGCAGAAGTCAGTAGAAATAGATGAACGAAATGACGAAGTCAGCAACGACGATGGTGAGGTACGTTTTGAGGGTATGAGCCATCTGGAGAAACAAATAGTGACAATGAACAATGAAGGGGACGTTTTGAAGACTTCGGAAAGGTTTGATGAGTCGATTTTAACTGTTTAATGTTCTTTACCTTAAGTGTAGAACATGTTATTTTAAGTTTCATTGATCATGTAAATAAATCAACAATTCTTTGTTTTTGTTCGTTGTTGTTGACGACGAAAACAGAATGGTGGAATGTTGTTGGATGGGAAGGTGGAATATTCAGGAGTGTTTATTTTAAGTGTACATTCTCAGTCAAGTGCTGGAAGAAGTTTATCGCCGAACAGTGCAACAGGACGAGTTGGTGCGACTTTCGATGACAGTATTACTGCTGATTGGAGTGGTGGTGTGAGCGGAGAATCATCAGTCGATAAACTGGAAGACATAATAATTTTGCGAGATTCAAGTGATGAAGAGGGAGACGGCATTGAGCAGCATTCGTCTAATCAGTACTGCACGAATGATTCAACAAATGAGCAAGAGAAGAGTGAAAATAGCAGTGGAGGGGATGTCTCGGCGGATGATGATGAGAAGGACGAGGCAGATGCAACGTCTGGGTGTGACGAGTTAACTTCGGAATGGAATAATGTTCAGTCGCGTACGGAAAGACAAGGTTAGTGTAGTCATGTTCTTGGTGTATATGTAGGTATTTCCGTGTATTTTTCGCTGTTTTGTTCAGGCTGAGTACCTTATGATTATTTTTGTTCAATTGTTTTGAGTTCACTTCTGCCTCAGCGAAGAGACTGTTATATTCACCATTTTAGTGGTTTTAAGATGATGGATTACTGTATTCCATTATAGTTGGCTGGCTCTGTTAATGTAAGCTGAAAAAGAATTGATTTGAATTTGAGAGAAAGTTTTTGGGAGAACTCCAAAAGGTTTATTTGAATGAAACTTGTTCACAGAGTCAATCAATGGCACGGATATGAATGGTGGGGCGACGATAGGTGCAGAAGATGAAATAGCACCATCGTTGTCGCCACATGTTGAAGATGGACCTCCGCTCCTCTTTACTGAGGTTTGTTTGGGTTTTGATTTGGGTTCGTTTTGAATGAATAGCGGTAAAGTTGGTGGTGATGAATGGGTGCGTTTCAGCCGTGAATTTAACAGAAATGATGATAGGTAACAGCAATATTCATCGTGAATTTGTGAGTTTATGAAATATCGAATTAATAAAAGTAATCTTTTGTGAATCGTTTCACGTAAAATAATTTCTGATCACGAGATATGCCTCGAAAAGAAATCACATCTTAATTTCACAGAGCCCCATCCTCAAGTACCTTTCGCTCTCACCAGTCGACATCTTGAACATCCCTTTTTGGAATACCCGGATCTACATCCTATCGCGCAGTTTATTCAGTCTGAGTTTTTGCTTTTGTTTATTTTCAGGCAGATCAGTTGCCATAAAGAGATAAACAAAAATATTTTAATAAATCAGTGAAGTAGAAGACAAAACGTTGAAACTGTATTCATCGAAGAAGAGATTGAGAGATCGCGGCTGCAAAGTGATTCGCATTTGGACTGAATCATCATTTATCTTTCCATTGATCCTTCCTCTTTGCATAGCATCAATTTGAGAATAACATTCACAAACAGTGGCTAGGGTTATGAGAACGATGACGTGATCTGCCGGTTAGGTGATGATTTGGTATTATTGTTGATGCGTTTTTCAAACTCATTGTAGAAATTTTGTGTTATTGATATTGCATATTTTCATTTAGTATCTTACGATTACTGGTATCGATTTCAGATATTATTGACACCCGTTTTATTGTTTGTTCATTGTTGCTGTACTTATGGACAAGTTGTTGAACAGATGTTTTTGTTGGTCGTGGAAGAATGAGAATAAACTATATTGTGTCATCACTGATATGCAGTTGTTCATTTGGTTTTGAAATGAACCGATGCTTTGAAAAGCATTTCTTTTCCGTTGTTTCGAATATTCATCTTTTGTGATAAGCAGTTGAAATGTGAAAATTGAATTGTTATGAATGCTGGTATGTAGAGTACGTATCATCAGGTAAGTAATCGTATTCAGTAACTTATTGCTATCGAAGAGGATATAAAGATGTGATTAAGTGAGTGCTTCATGCAAATATCATAATTCAGGAGCATTGTTCGTTGTATGCGGTGAATGGTTTATTGATAAAGGGATGTCATTATTGAATCCAGCATCGATCTCGCTGGGTGGAGATGACGATGTGTTGGACGATAGCAGTGTACCGATCGTTGGTGCAAGTGTGGTGATCGAACAGGATCAAGACCCTGATCAAATGATGGATGAATCGGCGATCGGAAATCATTCTGGTGGTGGAGCGCGGATGCAAGTCGATGAGAATGGTGGTGAGGAGACACTAGAAGATGACGACGACGAGGAGGCCGATTCAATCGAGGACTCGATCGAGGAACATCTCTCGAACATTCAGCACTTACAACATCCACATCAACAGCAAGAAACAATAATTACGGTGCCACAAGGAATGCTACTTGATGAACAGGAACTGAGGAATGGTACTGCTGCACATAAGTCTGGCATGGTTGTTGCCTCGATGGGACGCATTCAACCTAAACCGAGTGAGTTGCTTCGAGCAACTCTAGACTCTTTGAGTCTGCCCTTATTTCATTTCAATTCAGTAGAATTTCCACTGTAGATTATTGAGCAATCGGCGAATTGAATATGTTCAATAGTGAAATTAGCTGAGATCTAACGTCAGTAAGTAAATTCAGAAATTGTGAATGATTCAATAATTTGAGTGTGGCTAATTTACAGCTGTTTTGTTTTCTGGGCATGAATTTCTTGTTTTTTTTTTCAAACATTCTGTAAATATCATACAATTATCTCAATAAAACATCTTTTTGAAATATTTGAAATTCGTTTTTTTTTTTNNNTTTTTTTTTGAATTCGAAATATTTTGTTCGGTACCGTCGATTCGTTTTTTTCCGATCACGTTTGCAGCTTTTCGTTTCAAATTTTAGTAATAGAATGTCATTGTCCATTTTGAATGTTTCTGATTCCACGTTTCAGGAGAGTATGAAACGCAGGGAACAACGTACGTGCGACGCATTCCAGTAAGTAATTTGGTAATTTTACGATTATTTTCATTCAAAAAATATTTTTAAAAATCTCACCAACTAATCATCGCCTTACATGTATTATTCCTATGCTTGTCTGCTAATTTTTATTTGTTTGAAATGATTTATTACCTTGCCTTTTTATTGAAAATGCATTGTTATTGTGATTGCATTGAAATTAAAAGGTCGAGAAGATCACACCACAGTTGTATATGGATTTTGTGACCGAAATGACAGGTGGTCAGGTGCATACAACCGATCCGGAATATCGCGAAGTGCTGGACGCGTTGTTGGATGGCAACGAGTTTTCGGTAGTTTGCGAACTGATCTTTAAAGCTTTGTTTTAGTGCTTGTTGAACACAAAAATGTGACATCTTCAGGAGGATTCATTCCGGAATCTGATCAGTGTTTGGTAGTTAATGAACAGCCGAAAAAGATTGAAACTGAAAGATTTAATGCGTGATTGAACTTAATTTGATAATAATGAAACGAATTGTTATTATTAGAGAGTATCATAGGTTAAGCAAGCGGTAAAACAAATGAGTATGAGGTGAAGGCATTCTCGTGTCATATACTAATGCAAAATTGAGGTGGCGTGCGATATGAACGATGAGATATTGGGTCATTTGGATTACGTGATGATGCATCAGCCATCGAAACGTTTCGTGCTATTGCCGGAACAACGCGATCGTGTTATCGAAGCGTGTGTGGAACGTTTCAGAAATGAGCAGCACCCCATTGGTGCTTCCCTTCAGTACATCCAGAAGAACTATCTCGGATTCCCGCCCATCATAAGGGTTCGTTCATTTAAGCAGGGATGTTATTGATAGCAGTCAGACGGTTATAACGATAGTAGGACAATAGTGGTGGTAATAGAATTAATGCTGTTCGTTCAATAAGCTCAGTTGATATGTAACTATTCAAATGTGAAGTAATAGGATAAGTATAAAACTTTCGTTTTGATAACGCAAATTATTTCATGACTTTGCCTTTCACTGTTGTTTTATAATGGCTTATAAATTGAATGCAAACAAACTACGAATGAATTTCAGTTGCGCAATATACTGTTGAATTGTTTGGAACGCTTGGGAGGTGGTTCACCGTCATTTGAGGGTAATATCAGTAGATCGTCACCAGCTGGGAGTATGGGCCACAGCAATGAGATGGTTGCCAAAGAGTTGGTAGGTGCTAATGAAGCGTATACGAATATGAATAATACGCAGCAAGCTGCAATGATGAGTGCTGGCAGCAGTGACGACATCAAACAACGCAGATCGAATGTGGTGAAACCAGTGAAATGTTCGTTTCAATTCAGTTTTATTCTCCGATGGGGAATTTGAGAACGATGAATGAGTGAAAGTTGTGGGTTGAGTTATTTGTGTGTTGAGGGGAGGGCGAAACTTCAGTTGGGAATTAGTGTTGTTGAAAGTGAATGCAATTGCGGCAAGCACAAACAAGATTCAGATTCAGGCAAAGAAGTGCTTTCAGCGGCGCCAATGGTAACCTCAGACTTACCGATACCAGATAATCAGTACGATACGCTGGCACAGATTCTGGCTGGTAAAATGAACATTGAGGAGGTGAAAGATTGGATGCTTAGAGAAGCGATCAAAGTAAATTTTTTGCTTCACTATCTGGTTTTAACCGATTGAGTTTGGAAATTGCCTCGATTTTTGGTTTCTTGAGATGGTAGAATCTGGTATTTCAGGCACGTTTGAATGGCGAGTTAACTGCGGAGTATTGGAATGAACCAGGTGAATTTTTGCCAGCCGGTTGGCGCATTCGTATGCGAGATTCAATGAAGATTTTGCCACGTAAAGGTGAAGTCGAAGAGGTTCGTTGTTATACTGATCGATGAATTAATTCGGCCACTATCAGTGTTGTTTCTATGTTTGCTGTGCAAACTTCAGTTGACAATTATATATGAACGTTCATGTGCACCTTCATTGTAATTCGTTTGTATCTTGATTGTAACGATAGTTCTTTCTAGATCTGGCGTCGTTGTTACGAGAAATTGGGCGAGACATATAATCAGAAGCAAATATTGGCTTATTTGGAAGAGCGATATGCGGGCGTTGCAACGAAGTCGCGTTTGCGAGTGATCAATAAGGATCAGATCCTCAAAGGCAGTCGTGTGCAGTTCCCATCCAAACCGAAGTGTCTTGGCAGCAAGCCGATGCAGTACGTTCAGGTTGGTGCCATTCTATTTTTATGTATTAATATCGTCATCGGTGTTACTGTTAACGTTATAATTGATGAACTTTCAGATCGATATGATCGAGATGGATAGTTCGGAATACGGAGATCGGTGCTACAACATGGCACTGTTGGTGACAGATCTTTATTCGCAGTACGTATTCGGTAGAGCGTTATCGGATTCATTAGACCCATCGCTACTCGTCAGGCACTTAATGGACATCTTCGGTGCTTTCGCTCCGCCAGGTCACTTGCTTTTCATTTAATGTCCCACTGAGAAGTGAACGTAATGAAAGATATTCAAATTTCAGAGGCATTTCGCTCGTACACGAACCATCTTGTGATTGAACACGTAATGAGCGATATTGAGAAGTTGTTCAAGATCCAGATCAAGAATGTTGGACAGGGGGTATGTGCCGTGCCATATTCGTGTGCGATTGATTGATTCGACATCAGTGAATATGTTTAAGGTGATGAATTACTTCAATCTACGTACGAGTATGTACAAAAGAGCTGAAGAGGAGTTGGGAAGTCGTGAACGATGGGTGGAGGCATTACCATTTGCTGTCATCGAATACAATCAGAAACCGTTGCGAGGTTTTGGAGATGTCAGAATTTCACCATTCGAGGTAAACATTTTCAATTTTCTGGTTAAAAAATTTTCATTCTCATAAAAAGTTTTCTTATATTTTTAGTTAATTCTTTTTTCGGTGAAATCCACCTAATCATTTATTTCGTTCTGATCAGATAATGTTTGGTCGACGACCGTGGAAAGATCAGACAGTTCCACCGTGGATCAGCAATACCGAATATGGGAAAGGATCTGATGACGAGGACGAATGTTTGTTCATCTTCATTATTTTGGTTAATGTTCAAAAAAGTATGCGCGATTGATTATTGATTTTTCGTTTCAGTCAATACGGAACGCAAACGTGCGATCGAGAGTATTGGTGGACACTCGGTGAGTTGTTGTGCTTTTGATGGCTTTTTTTAACGAGTACGGATCATCATATTCCAGTGCATATGAGTATTTTCAGTTGAGGATAAGTAAAGTCGTATTTCACTTGAATTCCTCACAAAACTGTGGTCGCTCGTCAAGTTTGACTTGATTCTATTTTGTGTGGTTGTGTTCAGGAACTCGGTGGTGAAGGTGTGGATAAGAGTACGTTAGCACAGCAACAACAGTTCAAAAAGGTGCCCAAACCAGATCCGGGTGCAACGCTAGCGAATATTTATTTGGGTGAGATGGCTGAGAATCGCGGTAAGATATCGTTCGTAATGGGCAAATATCCACCGAAATACGATGAAAATGGGCGAATCACTGATCCAGGCACTGGATATATATATGAAATTGGCGATCATGTTTATGTAAGTGACAGGTTCATTGTTATTCTCATCAGTGAATTATTATCTTCACTGCTTCGTTTTTCACCATCCATGTTCCTTTCAGAAACTCTGAAAGTGCTTTGTCCATATGTTTACTTTTCATTGCGGTTTCTTTTTCCTTATATGACCAAATATAGTGGTGAAATTGTTTCACATGGGTGTGACGTNGAACAGAATTTTTGTTCATTTATTTTGTTTGTTGTTCAGATGCGTAATGTAATTCATCGTGATTTCTTCCACAAGTCACGTAAACGCTCCAACATACCACGTTATTTCCGTGCAACAATAATCGAAATCGATCACGAGAATCCAGATTTCATGTATCGCGTTCTCTTTTGGGATGATATCCCAAACCTCGATTCACTTCCTGAAGATCACTGGCCTGATCAAAACGAAGGTACGTTCTCGTTAAGCATTTTTTGAATGATTTTATGCATGTCTTATCGAGTAAACTGGGAGATACACTTTAAGTGTATAATTTGTTTTCGATTCAAGATATTTGCTTCAGAGTGTCTCTGTGCCTGGGTGAGTCCATTCGATGTGACTGCAAGTACACCGGATCTTGGTAGGCGTCGTAATATTGGTATGTGCTGAATCATTGAAGTTGTTTTGTGCGTTGTGAAATAATAATTGTGTTGTTGAAGTCGTTTATCCTCGTTACTCCGTTGATGCGAGCATCTGAATTAACGTGACTGTAATCAGTAGAAATAATAATAGGTCTGAATTTGAAATATTATAACTCAGTTAGATCATTATGAGAAGTTATGTTCAGATTGTTATTTAAGTTGTTAGGTCGATTCGTGTTTTATCATCGAGAAAATGGCGGTGATTTGAGTAGAATAACCATTTGAGTAATTTGATCATTGCGACGAGCAGGGCTGGTGCTCTGCTTTCATTGAATGAAACACCGAATAGATTTTACTTGAACACAATTTGGGTAATGCTATATCTAGTGAAAGTGTTTATGAAAGCAGACAGTGCTGCAGGTCTATGTAGATAAGCCGTTCAGTGTAAACCTAGGTTGAGCCTCAGGTTAGGGCCCGGCCCGTAGTCAGTCTCAGCTACGGCAAACAGAGGTAAGTCCTAACCTGAGGAGCGTGACTCTATTTCGTGAACACGTCAGTTGAAAGGTAAGCGCAACTTGTTGTGATTTGTAGTGAAGAAACGTGAAATGGAATATCAATGCAAATGTGGATATGATTTTTGCGAGTTGGTGTATAGTGAGAAGTGTCCATTCAAAATGTCACAAGCTTGTTGCAATCGACGCAAAATGGATTGTCCGTATCATAAGAGGGTTCGTTTCATTTTCTTTTGATAACCGCAAATGCGATCGTGTTAATCACTATCGAATTGATTTGGTTCTATGTTTATTCCGTTTCTATTTCTTCTTGTAGTATTGAATGAATAACGGTGCATTTTTATTTTCTTTCTGCTTCAGCAAGTTGAACCGCCGCCACCACCGAAAATGCCTGAAATCAAGAGGTATTTTTTGCGAAGATTAAAATATTTTTTCTTGCTTCAGGTTTGAAAAACGTTGACAATGTTCATTTGATGTATATTTTAGTGAAGAAGGGATTGTTATAAATGCTTGTGAATTAAAATTAGTAAAGAGTTGATTGAGTGCAATCATTTTTCGTTGGTAGCTCATAATTTGATTCATATCAATGAATCTTTCGGTAATAGATGGCAACGAATCGGAATAAATGCGTTTTATTGCTTCTCGTCAACGTTGTTCCAGTTGAAAATTCTGGAATATTGGTGAAAAGTGACTACGAATTTTGAAGGAAACCGTTGTTGCCGGCGACGATTAGCGCTGAAGATTTGGCGAAATTGGCGAGCGGTAGTAAAGACTCGAAATGGCTGTATCAAGGTAGTTTGATGGTGTTCTTTTTTTGTCAGGAATTGGTTCGAGCATTTTGGTCAATTACACACTATTGTGTGTAATAAAATAGTGATAAGAAGCACACGAATTAATTTTTAAAATTCATTCAGTTAAATTTTTGAGATCAATGCTCTCACGCTGGAGATTATTTCAATTCTCTTTACAATTGTAAATATCACATATGACTAAAATCAAAATGATCACTCCTATATCGCTACCGTTCATGCGTTCAGCACTTTAGTTGCTCGTTAATTTTATGATTGTCTTGCCAAATTCCATTCTGCAATTTTCGCAGATACAGAAAGCACATAAGCTTGTTCTGTGATTTGTTCTTCCGGAAAGATAAATCGAATATTCACTCAGTTATCGATTTTTTTATTTTGCTTCGGTTTCTTTTGATGTACTTAGTCAGGCGGAACAATAGACAGCAATTGGTTTATTCTAAATGAATTGATTTATTGCTTCAAAATTCGATGTAAAACAGATGAAGTAAGGCGTCAACCTGAAGCAGGAAACAATTAAAGTTAATAGTATGTTGAAAGTTGCGCCATTTTCATTCGATATTCAAATAAAATGTTGTTTGTTTTCAGATGGACGTCTGATAGAGATTCCAGAAGGAACTTCATTTGTAGAGGCACGGATCGGCCTACCACCACCTCAACAACCGTTATCTGCAGCCGCGTTGTTGAGAAGTGGCACTGGACGTGCTCCACTGCTGTCGACCAGTCACGGTACACCGCGATCCATCAATCGCAACCTACCACCGAGCGCAAAAAGAGCTCGTCTCGAAGATGTCAGTGTGAATTTGAGATTGAAATTCGTTTATTTATTGTTTTTCACGTATTCGATTTTGCATTCGTAATACGATCATTAGATACAAGCCAAATCGTAACGTGCTTCAGGCCCTATAGTGAAATAAGTTTGTTGGCAAAGGGATGTTTTGTTGTAATATATGGATTTGTTATTTATATCATTACTTTTTTGTTGTTGTTGCTTTATTAAATTATTTTGTAATGGTGTGTTTCGTTCGGATTCAGTTGACCATTGATTTCAGGCAGTTGGCATGGCGGATGATAGTGACGACTCATCAGTGGGTTATTAGTTATTTATTTGTTGTTTGTGATGAATTACTTACGTCAAATAGACAGTTCAGTAATTAGCGTGCTTTTGAAAGGGGGGAGCTGCTGTAAGCCATCAAAGCATATGAGCATCATTCCTGCGACCCAGTCTTGATTGTGAAACAAGTTAAGAGATAGACTCGCGATGAGCGTCAACTAGTTATGTCTCAGTAGACATGTTAATGACATGATTACCTCTGAGCAGAATATTGGTGTCTCAATTTGTCACGAAAAGTGCATAAGTATTTTCAAAAAATTCCTTTATTTGTATCACACCAGCTGAGAAATCGAGAATTAATCAGTATCTAATCTGGAAATATTTCCGTTTCAGGACGATTTCGGTGATCTCGATTTAGGACCAATTACTGAGGTAAGTTTAATAATGGGAATATCCCACCTTCATTCAAAATACGGATATATGTCGTTAATTGCTTCCAGGAGAGGCGACTTAAGGCTAAACCACAAATAAGCATTCATTTATTTTATTTATAAATGTATTTTTAATGATGAATGTTTGGTAAGAATCTATTTGATATTTACAAACAAATTAATTTTATTTTCTCAGTATAATACGGAAAAAAGTAATCTAAATTTGTATTTGTTGAAAAACAACGAATAATCGAAAACGACTTAACGTATCGTTTATATAGAGTGCACAATCTACTTGAGAACGACAAAAAGAATCATCAGTTTCATAATCGTACATTGATTGTTATTTTGCATTTTGCAATCGTTTTCTTCATTTCAGTATGGTGTTGCAAGACTCATTCCATATGAAAAATGCCCACAGAAGAAAAGTAGGTTGAATTGTTGCTGTTTAGAGGAGGTCATTGTTATTATAAATACTTGAACAGATGAAAATTATTTCAATTTTTTGAGAATTAACTTTAGACAGTCTGTCTTTTTGAACGAAATTATATTGAGTAGTATATTTCAAAGAGAATTTCAAGCGTTCGTAATAATAATAATAATGAGCAGTTGTAAAAGTGAAGTCGATGCCTCCTCGATCTCAACTTCGTGTATTCCAATCAACACCAACTCCATCGAATCGCATGCGCTACTTCAGTCAACCATCCAGCGGAGCGATACGTTTCATGCAAACCCCGCAGAATAACGGCTCTGCAGGTGCCTCACGACGTACAACGCCGTCCAATGTTACCGCCCGTACACCAACAACACGAGTTAGTTCGTTATTGTTAACTTTATTCGTTTCTGGATTGCTGTTTATTTCGAGTTTTAAAAAATGGAATTGTTGAAATTGAAGTTATCACACCAATTCGTATCGTTGCTCGATGGCATTTCACAATTGAGTGATTCTGTTCAGGTGACACGTTCGTCTGCTGCAGCAGTTTCGAGAATTGTCCAGGAGACAGTGCCGCCATCGAAACCTGCAAGAACGACCAGAAATAGTGGTAGCGGTAGTGCAGTCAAGGTTAGTTGCATGGTTTTGTTCATTGATTATTCAGAATTTTATGGTTGACAACAAAATTTTGTGTGAATCATTCGCACATTTTGTCCTACATGGTATATACAACACAAATTTGCGACAAATCGTTTGGTGTCTTAAAGGTGATGAGCGATTATTATTGTTCGACGAATAATCCTTAGTGTTCGCATAAATAATGTGGGCGTTTTCATTTGATTTGTAAGGGCTATTTCGTTGTCTTGTTTCATTCTGTTTGTGTTCTTAATGTAAGATTTNCATATTGATGCATCAAATTTCATGCTTTTGGAATTGTTTTGAAATATTAAAATGTATTCTTTGGTTGTTTCCAGCAGAAATCCGTAACGGACACATCGGAGACAACTGCAAGAACAACACCAATAACGACAGTAGCTGCATCCACTATAACAACACCCTCACCACAAACAGCAAAGGCTACGGGCAGTGGCAAAGGAGGAAAGCGTGTCTCAGCACCACCGAAGCGATTGAGTCCGTCACCGCAGGGTCAAAAGTGAAAATGGACTAGATCAGATCAGCTTCTAGCCATCGATCCTTCATTCGAATGCTGAGTACTTAACATAATTCCGTGTCTGCATTCATCTCGTTAATAACTTATCTTAATGGTTGGTTGTTTATTTATAAATACATGTTGTTATTGTTTGATGATAACCTCATCGGCTGGTTTCTGGAGGTTTACATTTTGTTTCATTATTATGAATATAATCATTGTGTTGCTATTAGTATTGTTACATCCGTTTAATAATCAGTTCTTTATCACCGTCTTCAGTTATGGTCATTTACCGAGAATTTTGTTTGCACTGTTCCACAACGTTTCTTTCACTGAACTTGTGTCGTTTCTTTGCCTGCTTCCATCGTTTTGTTTCGATTATTCTTTTGGGAATGTGCACATTTTGCTCTTCTTTCTTAATCACTACAAATTGCACTTCTTCCGGCAATTCTTACAACAATATTTTGCTCTTCATCTCTGTGCTGTCGTGATCCTCGTTTTTATGGTCAATTTTGTGTATTGTCATCATTTATGTAACCTTTGTTCCATCTCAGCACAAGATCGCATATTTTCGTCGATTTCCATTTTTTGTTGTTGTAGTGTCGTTATTTCGGTTGTTTTATCATTGCTTACAATCGTCTCTTGCTAAAAGTTACAATTCATCCATCCATCATGTGGGCTATCAGTATGAAAATTTGAAAGGTGGACGAGAGTTTCCGTTGAAAGGAAAAAGGATGAAAGTTGAATTGGTTCAGAGTCTAGGTCTTGAGATGAATTGGTGAAATTAAAATCCTTGATTGTTGGTTTGGGTTTTTTGAATCGTGGGCATTTTGAAGGGTTCCCCCTAAAGACGTATAACAACATATTTCGATAGCCTTTGCTAAAACTGGCTTTCCTATTGTAATCAATCCCATTAACAAATTAATTGCGTGTAACTGCTACTTGTATCGTGCCATTGAATGGGGCCTGTAAGCACGGATGCACTCGCTGGACTGCGTGAATAACGATTCATCTTATGACAACGTTGCTGTTATTTTAGTGTTTTATTGTTGATGTTTCTGCGATTGGAATTGATCTTTCACCACGTATGTGAGCATGCCTCAAATCGTATACTGATTGCCGCCATATTATTGTCGTCGTTATGACGATCGGTTGACAATTGGTCGATGATTGCGGTGGATGCCTTGAAGACTTTACTTAGTGGGATTATATCATCAGATTGAACGAGCGAAATTTTTGCCGTTATCTTATATTTTGACATCGCCGTTATTACAAGTTCTTTATTAAGGAAGGTCATCACGAAAGTTAGAACGGGAAGTGATTAAATTAGTGAAATAATGATAACTTTGTAAGTGTATTGGTTGATTGCTCGCGGTTATCATTATTGTTATTATTATTATTCAGTTTTGTTGTTTTCATCAGTATTGTGCTTTTTATTAATTATCGTTATGATTATTATTATTACCGTCATTATTATTATTATTGTGGCTGTTATTATTACTGTCGTTATGATCAGTTTTGTTCGTTTATCATTATGGATTTGATTCGTTTGCATATTTGACTGAATTGAATAGGGATAATAATGTTGATAATGGCGATGATTAATGCGTTGAATAAAGTTTCTTCATTGTTGTAATTAGAGATTGCTGAATATCGAAATCGATTCATTATTATGATTGACTCAATTCATAGCGATGATTTTTTATTCGTTATTTGATGTATCTGCGCGATTTTGTGATGAAGGTGGCGTTTGGATTATTGTTAGCATTGCTGCTGTTGGCAGTGGTTGATAAAGCTGAGTTATCAGAGTAATGCAAGTGATGTGAATTAGGTGAGAATATCAATTTAATAAGTTTGGTTATTGAGGTGAGTTGTTGAATTGTGATTGTATCGCTTGACGGCGCTGGTCAGTGTGATTTGATATGGATGTTGATCACCATTATTATGCTTAGTTCTAATGAGGTACTCAGAGAGATAGGTGTTGGTAAAAATTATTTTTGTTGTCTGAATCCTTGGCCATGACGCTACATTTTTAACGCATGTACGTAGAAGACTAACCAGCCTTTGCTGTTGATCATATTCTAGAAGGATATTAGCTGTGAAAGAATAAGTGCACTATCCGGCTAATTCTCGTAAAACTCAAACCTATTTGAGCGATGCATTTTGACAGGAGTAGAACTGGGTAGCATGTGCAAAGATATACGTATTTGTAACATCTTTCTTATCCCCATTCGATTGATTCTCAGGATTGAATCGGTTTAAAAATATCCTAGTCACTGTCTCAGATTCATATCGTTCTCGTGACAATTAAATTGAATGTGAAAGGAAATGTCATCAGCACCATCATCAACGAAAAATGTTTGTGAGGATGGAATTGAGCTTATCGCTCAACTGCAACGCAATCCTGACATCATTCCAAAATATAATGTGAGTGCTGCTTTTCTGAGGTTGTGTATTTATTTGCATTAGCAATGAAAGACACAAGACTGTTGTTTCGTGTACAGAAAGTCAGTTGACGAAGCGATTCAAAAAATCTCAGCAAAAGGGTTACTCGATAAATTTGAGACTCCGAAAGTTTCAGCGGAAACATTTGTTCATTGGTAGTGAGCAAAATTTTGGGTGCGAGTTTAATGTGTGTGTTGTTGCAGGAGAATGCGATGCGAAGTTGTATTGAAAAGATGAATCAGTTGTATGCAGAAAATTACGCAGATTTGTAAGTTTTTGATATTTCTTTACCTGATTCTTCATTTGAATTTAATGCATCTGTATGTGTTTAAACAAAGAGGAAAATCGCATCATTCAGATTTGTTGAATTATTCAAAAATGATTTGAACAAGTGAGGCTCGTCGTCAAGAGTATCCCAATGCAGTTTAGTCTTTTCCGCTTGTGTCAGGCGGTTTTGATCGATGCGATTGACTACGTTGACAATGAGAGTGGATTAAATTTATGCGAATGAATTATAGAATTTGTCGGTGATTTTTTGATTAGCACACTTTTGAGCGAATGACATTTTCATTACACTTCATTATTTCTAAGCAGTGATATAATTGAATTGAAGACAGACGATGAAAGATGGAACGTGTGAGGATCGATTGCAGTGTGAAGAACGAATTGGTGTGAAACAAGGCTGTATCGAGTTCATGAAACGATGCTGTTTAGCGTATTTGAATGAACGCAAACAGCGATTGCAAACTTTTAGATGGAAATTCGGTGAAGTGTTACCGTCTGATATCAAGGTACATTATATGGATTTGCTTAATTCACTTCACTGCTTTATGAATCGTTCAATCCTCGAATTCACTGGAACAGTGAAAATAGTCATTGCGTTAGTAATAAGCGTGACACGGGAGTTACTTTTCTTATGACGGTTGTACGAGCAGCTCGTAGCCACGGAGTCTCAATCAGTCCTGAATTTCAAATTGGTCTTCTGAAATTTTTTAAAACTTCGATATTTTGACACATAGTTTATGTAACATGGACATTTGAATAAGACGGATATTGCTGGTAGGGTTATGCGCGTTTCCTCGCATAGTTCTTGGATCATTCATTGTGAAGCATTTCTCATTTATTCTTGAATCATTTCTCATTCACGGAAACCGTTCATCCCTTCCGAGGAAACTAAGAGATTGTCGGTTATTTTCAGGCGAATCTTTGTCAGGCAGAAATGGATTGGTTTAATCAGTATACGACTATGTTGGCCGAATATCAAGGTAGCGTAGGGGAGAACGGCGTAAACTTAATGACGAATATGAAACCACCGAAGTCACTTTTCACGCAGGTAAAAGAAGTAATTTTAGTGGTTGTTTCAAGCATATCGTCGAGTATCAAAATAACAATGGTATTTATTATTATAAAGAGAAATTACAGAACAGATACGAGAAACGTTTTAGTAATATTGAAGAATTGGATTATTTCAGGTTCGTGCCATTGAAGATTACGGTGAATTTGAGACATCTGACGGCACCGTTGTGTTGTTGAAGAAAAATTCGGTGGTCAGTTATTTGGAGCCTTCCGATTTCGTTTGAGATTTCGTTTCGACATTTTGACGAATGCAGTTTTTTCTTTTTTGATAAGGAATCATTTCCCATTCGATGAGTTTAAATGCTTGCGTTGATATTGCTTTCCGCGAGAGTATTCAATTGAAGGAAAGTTATTTTTATATTTATTTTAGATTGCTCATTTATAGTTTGAAAGATGGTCGTTCTTGAGTTCATTGAAAATTCTGAGTTGAAATATAATGAATTATTAAATTTTTTGTTTGATTGATCAAATTTTAGTGTGAAGGTATAAAGACTGTATGCAAATGAATTTCAGCATTCATTACCACGTCAGGATTGTGAAATGCTTATCAAGCAAGGTTTTTTGGAAATTGCACACGATTGGTGATGATTGGGATTGAGCTTTGGTCGGTAATAAAAGATACGATTTTGAGGGATGTATTTTGTTGATTGTGGGGAATGGTTACATGCCTCGATAGTGTTACGGGTGCGGTTGTTCCGAAATAAGGCAGTTTTTGTCGTGTTTTTCTTATTATCTGACGTGTGTTGTACTGTACGCTTTATTTAAACGTTTGCTTGAACAGGGCGAAGAAGGGTGTGCGTGCAGTGTTGCTTTGTTACGTGTATTATATGTATTATTCTCATGATAATTGTTATTAACTTTAGCCAGTGATAAGGAATTAATTGATCGTTCTTAACACAAAGCATGCTCTAATGTAATGCTTTTAGTGTTTATTTACTTTCATCGCTACGTAAATGAATCACGTCATATTTGCTGATGTTAGCTTTGAAGTTTTTGATCACTTTGATCGCAATTTTGATATTATTCATATCATTTATAATCTTCAGCTTTCTATATATTACTTGCGAGATAAAAGGTTGAGAATTATTGCGTTATGACATTTCGTTTGAAATTGTTCAATATCAGCGCAATACTTTCTTTTTTATGCAATGCTCATTGTTCCGTTGAAAATTACCATCGAAAAACACTAAAATTGGAGACAGATTTTCGTTGTTATGATAATATTTCATATTGTGGTATCGTAATACCTTAATAAGTTTTTAGTTTTAGAATTCTTGAATTTCGTTGCACAAAACTTTCAAAGAAGCACTCGCTAGAGAACATCAAATAGGGGAAAGTTTAGTGGAGGTCTAGATGATGTTCATATTTGATAGCTGTGATAGAAGTAGTCATGTAAAGGCGTTTGGTAAGAAGAACTGCAATGACTCTGGTGTAAAGTACTTATTATTTTTATTCAATTAGTTCTCGAAGAATTTTGAAGTTTAATCAGAATTCCGAATGTCGGAACGTTGAAAAGTCGATTCGGTCTGATTTCGACCGAACTGAAAATTCATTCATTGGATAGTAGTGAATGTTTATGAATGATACGATTGTCTCCTCTCGTGAGAATTTGGTATCGAGCTGGAAATTGGTTCGGATGTTCAAAATGTCGTCTGAAAGGCACATTTATAACAATTGTGTATGCATGTATACGACGCGATTTTTTGATCACCATCATATTAACTATGAACAAATTTGTTCACTTAAGTGATCTTCAATTCCAGTATCTTAAGGAGGTAGAATATTACGCGAGCTGTCTCATCAATAGGCGCAGATCTCACCAGAACAACATTCGCAGGGTTTGTTTATTGTTTCTTTTTTTGGAGAAAACCTATTTTTAGGCTAAAACTTGACGTGATGAGTGTGCTGACAAGTGAATTTACTGCAATGTCAGTGAGCAAATTATATTATAAACATTGAATTTTCAGATTTCAATAACGCAAATAACGAACAGTCTAATGGACAATTGTAGTGGTGCACCACGGAGCCGAACTAGCACCGAAGGCTTCCATAGCCCATCAATAAATCGTAATAATAACTTCAATCATCGCTCTCGAGGTTTGTTTCAGTTTTTCACGGAATCTTTCACCGAACCCGAAACAATTTATATTGATGATAGAGTTTTCATATTTATTCCGTTCTGCATGATTTCATTTTGCACTTATCAATCGCTCGTATTCAGTCTATTGATACTCTTATAGTGAATGTGCATATGTCTCTCCCAATTGATTCTTGAATTTGAGCTTTTCATATCATGATCTGTCAGTTTCCATTAATGAATATACTCGGAAATCCACTAATGATGATAGCGTGACGAAAGAATAAATTGAAGAAGCGACTTGTAAAAGCGAATTTGATTTCGGACGAAAAAATTTTAAGATTTTGAGTGGAAAAAGGATGATTTCGTTGTGGTGACAGGTTTTTTGCAGAGTTCGTTGATGTCAAGTTAACCAAACCGTTGTTTAATACATATTATGCAGTTTCAAGCATGCGCTAAAAGTTTTTGAATTGCAAGTATAAATTTTCAAAACGATGTTATCCCATTTTGATGGTTTTTGACACGTTTAACTTTTGCAACTAGTTCATATTTGTAATCGCAAAGCACATTTGAGCATATTGAAATATTCGAATGAAAACTCAATAAACATGCCTTTATTGCATCGTTTTCATCCATTTCTCTGTTCAGTAAATCATGTATCGATGACAGTTACTGCTGTTTTGCTGAATGAATAATATCCATATTATTCCATTGTTTATCAGTCCACAAACGTCGCACGTCACCATCAAACATTCCATTCAAGGAATACGTAACTTTTATCCGTTATACAACCACTTCTCTGTCTTTTCCACTGCTGTTATAATTTTGATATTGTCGGGCAAAAAAAAANAACTAATGCAAAGCCAAATCACATCCTGGCTCAGGACTGATAGTATCAATGATGACAGTGGTATACCGTTTGGTTTCGATCAATGCTTTCCCTCTGCCAGTGGGACTGGAACCCATGACGTACCAATTTCTAATCGGATGCTCTGCTAAGGGCTTGAGTTCAGGGAAAAGGTTTTGCTTAAAACCGAATGGGTGTTTGAATGTCATTTGAAGAAGACAATCCTGTAACTCGACAGTGTGATATTGAACGTATAATAAGTAATTTGAGGAAAAATCTTTTAATTTTTGACGTTTATTAACACATCAGCGCCTTTACTGTATTGAATAAATATCATGAAGTGTATTATAAGTTTCGATGTGTTCTTTATTCGTCTTTCATCTCGACTATCAAAGCATTCGAATGGTATCGCAATAATTTTTCCCAAACGATGAACCATTCATTGATTCGTCAAATACTGAAATGCACTGATACCAACACTGATGTCTAATGGCTTTTTTAAAGAAATTCTTCTCATCATTGTTTTATTTCCAATTTCAAATGCAAATTTTTTACGATAAGAAATTTTCTGTTGCTTTCAATGTTTCAACACTGAGAATCGTTCGGTTAAAGTTTTGGTGCATCTCAAATCGTATTAATGTTCACGCGATATTTATTCGTCTATTACCGAAAAACTTGTGCTGAATTCAACATTTCTCTATTCACTGCATTAAGCATTCGAGTTGACCTGATTGAAATCAGTGGATTTTATACAGGATCAAAACGTGAGCCATATTGGTTTGCAGACTCCGGGTACTCTTCGACCATCTTGTGGAGTAAAATTGACAAGAGTGAAAATCCACCTCGTGCTGGATCGGAGTCTGAGCCATGCTACGGGAAACCACCCGATTTAGCCTCGTACAGTAAATTTGCTTATAGCCAAAACCCTGAGGGACGGAATTACGGTATTTCTTGATGTTTTTGCGAAGATTCATTTTAGCGATATTGAATGCTCCATTTTCATTTTAATCGCTATCATTGATATATTGTTACTGCTTGTAAATTGTATCATTTCCATCACTAGCTTATTGCTTTGGCATTCACATTATTGCTGAATAAATATGAGGAAGAAGAACTGGCTTATGACGAGCAAGGTGTTTTTAGCCGAGAAGAGGTTGAAAATCGGATTTCGTCAAAGTCAGGCATTTCTTCGCCGAACCATAAGTAATTATACTTATGGTCCGAATATTATAAATTTCCCCAAACACCTCTATTCAGTCAGCGTTTGTCAATGCAAAATGCATTTCTTGAGCAAAAACGAAAATTGTCTCCGCAGTCTGTCGTAACTGTTACACTGTGCTTCCGCTCCTTTATTTCACATCTATTCGTTACGTCGATTGTTCTCTTTTTTCATTGATTTTGTACCAGTTAATCCGCTGGTATTAGAACGATTTCAATGGATTTGAATGCAATTTTGAAATACATTCGAGCAAAAGAAAATAATGATTGATTTTTGATGACTTCAATCAAGGGCATGATTTGAGCGTGTGGGCATGAGAGTGTTTGATTGTGGTGCAGTTCACTGACTAACGAAGATAAGTACCATTTGAATACCATTAATGTGTGTCCTATATGCGCGTTCATTTTCGTTGAGATCCAAATACACTTCCGTCACCGCGTATGTGCATGACAATTATTGTACAAGCCTTCAGAGCAGCATCGACAAGTGCAGCAACTCGAAGATAATATAAGATCTGATGAATGCCATTGCGTTCACCAGCAACGGTATCCGTCTGAATCACCGCCCATGCGCTCATCAAAATTACCTCGTAAACATCAGCACTACTACCCTCAGCAACAACAAATCGCACGTTGTAATCCGGTTGTGCAACCATCTTCGAATGATCATCTGGCATTCGCACCGTCCCACGTCACTGATTATCCGTCATCACATGTCCCTTTTGATCCATTACCATTCCCACTGCCGTTCGCTTTAAATTTCAACAGCCTTCCGTCTACGCATCATTCGAATCCTCCGCATTGTCTTCTTCATAACCGAAATCTCAATCAGAATCCCAGTCATTTTAACTGCTCATTCCCACCATCCGTTCCTGCTTCGAGCGAATGCCCTGTCACGAGTCCACACCCTCAGTTCCCCTTTCACCCATGCCCTTTGCCGTTTGATCCCAAAGTACCACCTCCTCCTCTTCCTATTGATATAGCATCAAATAAGATTCGGCCTATGTCATTTTTCCGTCGAGACCAGAAACAACAGCAACATTTCGCAGATGAACGCGTGATTTCCGGAAACAAAACACGAAGTCAGCGAATGCATTCAACAAATCAGCAAAATGCCCTCATAACACCATTGCCTTTTATTTCCAACATACCACCTCCCACAGTACCAATAAATCGTATAAACGATTCCCACAATTCGTATACAATTCAGAGAACAACAAACTGCCGACGAATGTTAAATCGGAAAGAGAGTCAAAAAGCTGATGATAACGAGAATAGGATCGTAAATGAAATGATTGTTGAAAATGTTGATTTGGATGCGAATACGAATGGAACGAAGAGCACAACATTTCAGAAAGTAACAGCAAATGATGAAAAGGAAACTGAAAATGAAACTCGTAAGCCGGAGAAAACGGAATTAGATTTAAAAGAGAATTTTTCACTTCATAAAAACATGCCCGAGATCGTTGATGACAGAAATGATGGCAAAACGCACACAAATGACTCGTCAAATCGTGCGGACATAAACAACGGAGGAAATGATTGCACAAAGGATACCGATAGTAAACGTATGAATATGATTAAGTCTGGAGAAGCTTTTGATGAAAACGCCCCCAACATTACATCGCAATGGGATAATTACTTAGTGCTACACACTAATAACCGTAAAACTGCGAATCAAATCGGTTGTAGAACGGCACAGAATGATCGCGAGAATATCAATCCCCTAAATATCATGGAAAATGATGAATTTTGTGACAGTATCAATGGTCCCCAAACTGTACGACCGCGTCAATGGAGCCTTACAGTGTATTCATCGAAATATCAGCAGCAACACGTCGATGGGTCAATACTTCTTGAAATAAAACAAGGTTTTGATTTTATTGGCTCTTTGCTTCATTAATTCATTCGTAGTTGTTAATGCGCACGGATAATTTTCTGTGTCCATTCGTCTTATTATTATTCATACACTCAAGTTCAACTCTCTTCCGTTTTGCTCGTAGCATATCGCTTAGCTTCATTCGGAATTGCTTTTTCATTTGCATTGTCGAGCGCGTTCTATATTTAATATGCTTTCACATGCGGAGCGAGTGACTCGAAGGGTTGTTTCACTTACGAGCAGTCCGATCCCCCTATGGCGACAGAGTATGATATTTTCCGGTTTTTCGGTAGGGGATGAAAAATGGTTTTCTTCCGAGTGGGGATATGCAAATTTGGTCAATTTGTGATGAACATTTGGATTTTAACAGAAATTGGCATGAAATTCTCGCCAAAATCATCTTCTTTGATAGATATGTTGGTGATTTCCGGAATTTCGATATGTTAGGAACTGTTCCTCCGACCAGTTGCGCCTGAAATCCTCTGATGAGAATTATGTGGACAATTTATGAGTATTGTGGCCACTAGGCTTAATTTCGCTTGTTTAAATTATTCTCAGATTAGCATCTGACATACAATTCTCATCGATTATCATGCATCCTATCTGTTGGATTCTTATCGCTCGACTATCGTTGATTTTGTATTGATTCTTCGTACAGTTGGCCATTATTCACTTCTTGGCTAAAGGTTCGCTTCAACTTCTTTATATTCGAATTTTAGCGATTTTCGCTAAATACTTTATGAGATTTTTGTGGAGAATAATCGAAGGAGATTGACTTCAGAGACTGACTCTCCAAAGTGAATCATTTGGTAAGGAGCAAAAATGATTCGCTTCTCCCTCCCTTCTGGCCCCCTTCAATGATATTGTCATCATTATGTAAGTGGGTCTATCCTATCTCCCCTTCGTCATTTGTTCCACTTTCAACCAGAAATTTTGGATCAGGCACGTAGATTTATCCTGAAAATGTCATGGAGTGATAATTTGTTCATCAGTTGCATTGAATTTTTTGAAACGTAGTCGTCACTCTTCATCCATCCTTTTGTATCGTAATTGCTTTGCGTAATTCTTAACACACCACTCTTCAGCCGTTTCCAGTCCTCCATACATTTTCCTCAGGTGCTCAAAATGGATTCAACTAACAGCTTTCATCGTGTAAACCAAACCTGTAATTGCTATGTTATGTAATCATGAGCCCTTCTTGGAGCTGCTGCTTTTTATCAAACTTATCCGCAGTTCCTGTCACTTAAAACTCTCTAATTAGCAACTTCTCTCCTAAATTCGTGCAGCGAACAGTAATTGGCTTTTAGATGTCTGATGTGCTATGCTCGGGCTTTGTTTCAGTAGCAGTGGAGCGGTATAAAGATATGCCATGTCCTGCCTAACATCACATATTTGTGTGCATGCAATAGTGTTGCAATGAAAGCTCGTAGCACTTAAATGTTCATAAAATATTCTTCCTGTACGTCATATTATAAAGTCAGAGTCAGCAGCCACTCGCAATAAATATTTCAGTGTCGCCAGAAAGCTCAGAAACGGAACAAATTGATGAGAACTTGAAACAGAAAAGTTCTCAGGAGGAGAAGAAACAAAATGAGAAAATTAAAGAGAAGTTGAATGAAAAGAGGGCGGATGGAATCGAAAAACAAATTAATCACAAAACAACGAGGAGTAAATTGGATGATCCGATCTTAGTTGGTGGCGGAAAAAAGTTTATTAAGGATGTGTTGGATGTGCAACAGACGGCTCAAGAAAGCCCGGTAAGGATGTGGAGAATTTTTTTTCGTTTAAGCTAAATGCATGGTGTACAACGTAAGTGTGGTGGTTTTTTAAAATTTTCTTTTTGAATGAGTCATTTATTCATTCTTCGATATTCATTTCCCCTTTGGTGATCTCGTGGGGTTAACGTTTCTACTTTTTCATGAACACAAAGCGATTCGCAATAATCTTAGCTTCCATCATCTGCGAGCTGAATTCTGTGACAGTTGAAATTCAGTTTCGAATTTCTTGTGCACATTCCGAAAAATTGGGATTGCAGAGAAAATTGGAATCCAAAAACGAATCGGAATTAGATGCCGTTTGTGAACAAATTGTCAGACAATTCGAAGACGTGACAGATCAAAAAGTGAAGATATGTAAACAACTTATGGCCGAAAATGAACAGCATCGGAACAGGGATATAGAAAAATTGAGAAGCGAGGTCTCACTTCCATTTTGTTTTCTTTACATCCCGTTGTTCTTTGATACAGAGTTGGAAGTTTCATTGTTATTATCGTTCTCTTGAAAGTTTTCATTTGTAGATTGAAGAAAGAAAGACTCGAGTGGAAACGTTCCAGAATGTGATCAGTTGGTTGAAGACGAAACACGACTACAGCGATACGTTGGTTGTTGATGGACAACTTTTCAGTTTTACAACGAAATTGATCATTAGAAATGTTTATTGTTCGATTGAATTTAATCTTAATCTTAACGCCTCGCATTTTCAGGACTGTTAGCAAAGAGATCGCTCGTTTCCACGATACTCTTCCTATTTATAATATACGCTTAAAGTTGAAAAAAACGTTCGAGGATGCATCGAAAAATCGGGTGAATTGTTAAGAATTTTTCAAAAATTCATTTGATATTCCATTGATGATAAAATTACTTGTCACATGCCTCAACAACTTATTTGCTCACATTTCAGGTTCATTCGAAATAGAGCAATTGATTGAATTACTGTTGTGCAGATATGTGTTAAATAATAAAACAAACAATAGTTTCAGCCCATTCGCGTTGTCATTGTCACGGCAGAGACAGGTTCGGGGAAGAGTACTCAGATTCCTCTCTATTTGGCACTTGATGGTATTATTGCTGATGAGATGCGTGTTTTATGTACAGCGCCAAGAAAGGTGATCGATACTCTCATTTATTTTTCTTCATTGATGACCTATTGATTTTCATTTTGATCGCTCATCTGCAGCACTTTCATCTACATATCCAAAAAATGCAAAATATTACAGTACATACGATTCGATTGAGAATGCTGAGCAAGATGAATTGGTAATAGAGTGGGTTGTAATTCGTGTAGAAAGATTGAAATATTTCATTGCTAATATTCGGATGAGATTTTAAACTGATCATCTATTTCAGCTTGCGGCCAGATCTGTAGCACATTATGTTTCGCGAGAACTTCAAAACACTAAGTACTTCGCATCTGCCAAAATAGAAGGTTTTTTAACGTGTGCCCAGGCGAAGTTTGTTTTTAAACAATATCGTCTACTTTAATGTGTTATAATGGAGATAATATCAATGATTTCAGTCATCATATCAGTAATAACAGTAATGTTGGTAGCAGTTACAGTATTAATTAATAAATCGCCCTCTAGACTAGTTGATAAGCAGCTCAAAGAAGAGTGGATGTTCATATGTAGTGAATGAAAATTGAAATGAAGATAATTTGTGCTAAACGTGCTCTCCTTTGGAGGATTGTCTTCATAACGCCGTGGCATTTATTGAAAGAATTGCGTGAGAATGAGATGCTGAAAGAATATGGATGTGTGATGATCGATGAGGCACATGAAAGATCGATCGATGGTGACTTGTGTTTGAGTGTGATCAAGCGGATAATGAGAAGTCGAGAGGATCTTAAACTTGTACGTAATCGTTACCTTGTGGCCCTGCATCTTTACTGATCCGTGTCAAGTTATTGCTGTTTTCAATGTATGATTTCAATATGGAGTTTTTACTGAATGAAATGATAGTGCTATTCTCACTTGAAGGTGATCACGTCGGCGTCGATGGATGAAGGTGTATTTAAGAAGTATTTTGATGAGTTCGGTGTGGCGACTCTTTCGATTACAAATCGCCAGTACCCAGTAGAAATCAAATACGCATTGTTAGTGTTGATTAGTTCATTCAGGCTTTCTATTTATTTACTTATTTATTTAATCAGCAAATCAAACTCATTACGAGTTTATGCCTCTCTGTTATTACCAGTATCACTAATATCACATTCTTCCTTCCTTGGCATTCTTCTTTCCGCGCAGCTAACGATAATAGCGTTTGGAATCATCTCTCTTCATGAAATCCGAACTTGAATTATTGATTTGGCAAGTACAGAGGTTTTGGGCTACTCTCCCATACGCCCATTTATTTCTAGGGAGAGGGACTCAGAAAGAGCCCGAAAATACATTCCGATTGTTCGATTGAACACTTGTCCAACAATCGTTCAGAGTAGTTGTTTGGAACAGCCATCAGTAGTGAATCAGTAATCTTTCGTTATCNATAATAAACGATTAATGTAACCGAGTAGATCCATAGCATTCAGGCTTTCATCATCAAATAATCTATCTTTTTTTCAAAATTATATCTTTAACAGACCGAAGAAGAATATGGACCATGTAACGCGTTGTCTTGATGAGGTGGTCGAATTATGTAAGGATATGGTGTTGAGAGCAGGAAATAATGATTGGGAAGCGCTCGGGGATATTCTGGTATTTCTTACAAGGTTACCACCGTACTTTACGGCTTGGCTTTAATTGACTTTAGCGATTTACGCTGGGAATTTTTTATTTAATTAGTGACCGAACTATATTATTCTTTATATGTTATATTATGTTGTTGTTCAAATATTATGTTGTTTCATTATAATTATAGTATAATGGTAATGAACCTGAGTTTTGAAGAAAGTCACGAATTTCAGTCCATCAGAGGTGCAAGATGCAGAGATACGTTTGCAGAAAATCTTGACGGGTATTCAGTATCCAGCACACGTGGAAATTTTATCTCTGCATGGCAGAATGAACCGACGTGAACAATCACGCGCATGCGCTCCGTGTCATGGCGATTGTTTGTTCAGGGTCCGTGTGCATATTTTATGATTCGTTTGCTAAAGCAATACTGCATCAACTGCCATCTTTTTGAAAAGAAATGTGAGTGCCTGCAAAAGGATAACTAACTGATCGATTAAATATACCTTTTTTTCGTTGCGCGAAACGTGGATGGCAATTTTTTTCAACGTTCGAAGCGTTTCAGACGCCTTATTATGTCATTATGAAATTGCAGGTTCTTTTTGCGACCAATGTGGCTGAAGCATCACTTACAATACCCAATGTTCGATATGTTATCGACTGTGGTCTTGCGAAGGTTGTATTTCATTTAAATTCTCTTTGACTTGACTCAGTTCATACAAGTTAGGATGTGCGTACTGAGGATAACGGATATCGATTGTATTGTAGTTTGATATAGATATTAATCAACCTCTGCTTGTTCATGAGCTATTTAATTTGAATCTGTTGAACTAATCGCAGAGGGAACGTTACGATGCAATTCGTGAAACGAGTATTATACAATTGGGCCGTATCTCAAAGAGTGAAGCGCAACAACGGACTGGACGTGCCGGCAGAACTGCTCCAGGCGAGTTACCGATTGTGGTTGATTCATTTAGCTGATGCATCATCCAATGTACTTAATCAGTCTTCCTTTCAGGAATTTGCTATCGACTTTATTCGGAGGAGGATTACGAAACAATGGAGAAGGTACCAATACCGGAGATAATGAGGAAGAATTTAGATTCAGTCCTCTTGTATTTGCTATCAGTTGGCGTTGAAAAGCCGGAAACTTTTGACTTTATTGGAGAATCTATTGGGAAAGAACGTTTTCAACAGTCGTATACAACTCTAACGTAAGTTGTATATTTAGTAGTGTAAGTGTCAAATTGAGGGTGTTTGGATATTACGTTCCATGATGACCACTGTGAGAGGAGTGTAAGAGGACCCGTCGGCTGGTAACCGGATATTCGTCATTCTGATTCCTTTTTAGATCACTGCAAGCGGTCGAATCCAGCGGAGGAATATTGTCGTTGACGCAGATGGGTCGTCAAATGACCGCTTTTCCAATACCTCCTACATTATCCTACATGATATTGGAATCAAAAAAATACAGTATTGTGCCGGAAATGGCTGTGATTTGTGCATGCATTAATATCAGATCAATTTTCTCTTATCGTCGCAGTCAAGAGGTTAGAATTCTTTTTTCATGTTCTGTTATATTTTACATCTCTCGGAGTTAGGGAAGCATTCAGTTTAAATGAGAGTATTCTTTAAAATTTAGTACAGTGAATAATTTGATTATTACTTCATTGTTGATGCCGTTATGGTTATTATCATAGAGAAATAGTTTTGTAGATTCTGATTTCCTGAAGAAACGTGAAATTTTTAGGGCAAATACCGAGCCGATTCTGTGCGATTACGTTTGAATGATGAATTTGGTGATCCGTTGACATATCTCAGGGTTTCTCTCATATTGCTTTTTATTATAGTTATAGTTTTTATTATAATTACTTTTTATTATAGTTAATGTAGAGTTTCATGATGATCACTGTTGCTCTTGCAATCAATATTTTCAATCTTACAGCCAATAAGTCGTTCTCGTTTTAATCATTAGTGTCATTCGATTTTTAATGTGAAATGAGCGTTTGTAACTATCATGAAAATACCTCATCGATGCCACGTAAATCACCTGACAGTGGAACTAAACAAGTGAAAGCATTTATAGTGAAATTTTCAGTTACCATCTGACGACTACCTGAAATTGTGTAAAGCGAAGTACAAAATTTGATAAGCGTGGGTAAGGAGCATAGATTAAATCAAAACTATTGAAAATGAATATGAAGATGCATTTGTTGATCAAACTTTGGACGCCTTTGAATACTTTTGGACTAGGCTTTCTCGACTAGGAGTGCCTGTTTTGTTTAGGATACGAGATAGTATTCTAGTGGTACGAGGTAACATTTCTTTCACGGATTTCAATGCATGCATGTGTTTAAAGGGAGCGAGGATGGATTTTAACGTATATATGCTTGACAAGATTTCTTACGTGGATGAAAATTTATTATAACTATTTGCAATTGTTATTTTTTGTAATATTTTTCATTTTTCAAATGATCATTTTTCATGTTTTTAAAAATCAATTGCAAAAAATTCTTTAGATCGCGTTTACTGCTATTCTTTAATAAATCGTTGTTGTGAGGAGTGTGAGGACATTTCAAAATTTTCTTGGGGGAGCGAGTAAAAAAGTTGAGAACCACTGTTTTATTTGCAATTGCTGGAGACTGATAACAAAAGAGTTGAATAAGTGTTGTCGGTTCAAAGAGCTGACAGTTCCAGAATTCATTCAAAAAGTGATTCGTTCCATTTGCACACTGATTTTCTGCGCCTTTTCATTCCCTCACCGACATGTAACGCTCTTCTGAACTGATTTTCCCCTGATCTGATCTCAAATCTCCATCAAAGCTGATGCCAAAGAAGATCCGTATTTGCCCTTTAAAAATAACCTGGGTGATTTTAAAAAACACAATCGCGAGACAGAATTTATGCGATCGAGCGACACTCGTTTGCAAGAGTTGCAGTATTGGTTGCAAAAGCAATAGTGAATATTTCTTACCCATAATATTATTGTTTGTTGTTTTTCATCATAAACTGATGTAATAATTAAGGTGTTTTCTGAGTATATTAAATCAAAAAGGAAAAGCTGTCAGAGCTGGTGTAGAACGAACGATGTATCCGAGAAGGCTATGGAGCAAGTTTTGCAGCTAGTGAAGCAAATTGTTCGTCTTACTTCGAGAGATTCGGTGATTTTTTGATTTTGTTATGGTGTCATTGATATATTTATTCAATGCTCGTTGATATTGCTAGTACTGTTATTGAACGGCATTTCAAAGAAGCGTTTTCATGACTGCTGGTAGAGTAGAGCGATGCGATTTGGAATATGAGGTAATGAATTTGTTGAGAATATTTTAAATTGTTATGTGATTTTCCAGGAACAGTATTATGCATTCAACTGTGAGCGATATGAATTCGGAATAGATGGTGTTGCACAAGTCGTTCGTCGACTGTTTTGTGAAGTTTTTAAACGAAACGTCGCTGTTTACAGTGGATCACTACAGGGCGGCTATATTAATATGGCGACCGAGGAAAGAGTTTGGGTGAGTTACGTGTACCGCAGATTACGCTTCTCCTAGTGCTCTCAAGTTTATTATCTTACTATTTCCGTGCGGCTAAGCGTCTGTTACGCATGCCTATAAGTGGGCAGCACCGCATACCGTTGCGATATTGCAGTTTGTTTTTTTTTTGATTAGTTCGGTTTTATGATTTGAGTAGTAATAATTTTGTCGAATTCAGATTCATCCAGCTTCATCATTGAGACAGTTAGGTGTAACGCCAGAATATATCGTATATGAGTATGCGCATTGCACAAGTCGATTGTTCGCAAATGATGTAATGCAAGCTGATGCGGATTGGGTGAAGAGTGTTGTTAGCGATCACGTTTTGAAGCGTATCGAAGAGGTCGGTTGTATTCATTCAATTGATACATGGACCTGTTCTATTGGTAACTGTCAAATATTCAGTTATTCATATTTCAGCTGAAATTTACAACCTATACTGTGAGGATGGGTCCAACGGCGAAATGTTGCCTCCGGAATATGGTAGAACAGATCAAGGAAGAGGTCAGATGATTATTGCATTATGTTCAATCGGGATTGTTCACATCGTTTCTCACTTTGAACAGCTTGGTGTTTTTAATGCATAATTATGACGCTTTTAGGGCATAGTTAAGTGCTTAATTAAGTCGTTTTAAATATTTGCAATTTTGACTGCATTCAGGTCGATCCAGAGTGCCATATCACTAGGAATCGCTTCGGGGATTGTTATGATCGCCTGCAAATTTACGTTCAAAGGAGAAATCTGGATGCTGTAAGATTTTGTTTTCTGTTTGCAATTTTAAAATTTTTTTCTGTTGTGTAGTGATCAAATTAGCATACGTGATCTACTGATTTGTCTATGAGTTGTCGTCTGTTGTTAAAAATTTACATACAAAAAGCTCTATATAAGGGCGAGATTTCATTGTCTTGGTTTGATCCTAAGTAAAGGCTTGTTTCGTCGTCTCGGGTCGCTCATCATCAGTCTTCAACGACATAACATTTTCCGTTGACATGCAGAGAATTATTCCGGGGTTTCGGAGCGAAGAATGTCTAAAATTAGTACAATTACAGTTTTTTGCAAAATTTCCAATTCTTACTTGCTTATGGAATTTTTTTGATTGATCTCCTTTACAGCTGCAAAAGTTCATTGAAAGACACATCCGACCAGAAGTTGATCGCCTTAAAGAGGAAACATGCGAATTCCCGGTAATCAATACTGATTACAAAGTGAGTTTCGTTGACAAATCAGGTTCTCTTTGAGTGCTGGCGAGTGATTGACATCGTTCGCTTCTTGAAGATACATATTGGAGCGGGCGCTATCGCGAAAGAAATCCTTTTGAGAGGTGAATATTGTACAATATTCGCGGGCAGAGGTCACAAATACTTCGATTGGCGAATCAATACCAAATTTCTACACGATGAATTATATCCGCATTTCGAAAAGGTTCATTCTCTCTTATTATTTCCATCAACGATTTTATGGTGATGGTGATAATCATAATGGTATTGAGTCGAATGTTGAATTCGTGCAAATGAATTACTTTTAGTATGGTAAGATCACATCTGTGGTATGTTTCCGTGAGTTCTTGCATGAGCGTACTGGTTGCGCTTGTAAGATCCGTTTCGATAATAAAGAAATCGCGAGACGTGTCGTTGAGGCGCATGTGGACGATTCAGATTGGGGTGTTTCGGTATATGTCTTTCTAATATATGTGTCCTGTTAAATTGTTTATTTCAGAAGTTTGTTTTTTGACGGAATTATTTGTATATTTGTTTGTGTATGTTATGAAATTCGCCGAGCTATATACTAACGTTCTGATGAATTGCGACTGATATCTCTTATATCCATTCCGCTAAGCAGCTTATATGCTCGCCTATAAGCGCATAAGGGTGCAGTATCTTGTGTCAGTACAATGGAGCGTTCGAACCATTTTGGGTGTATGTTTCATCATGATTCATTCGGTCGATATTCAGGTCGAACCCGAGAGTGTCAAAAAGGTGAATATATCACAAGTGTACGACTTTCAACGGTTCTTCATCGATGTGCGTTGGCGTAGACGAAAAAGTCATCGATGCGGAAAAGCGCTGGTATTTTCGTTAGCTTAAATTTGCGTCGTTTGTAATTACCATTGTTGAATTCGACTGATCCAAATTTGATTAAGTAATGAGTGGTTTATTCAAGTTACCAAACATATCGTTCGAACAGTTGCAACGATTGGGCGAAAGATTAGCACGTGAGCATTTCCCTTCACAAGTAGAAACACACTACGGTCATCATCAGTCACTATTTGACGAGCAGACGGATTCGTTACGATGGGATCAAGCACCTCCAGAGGTGAGGAAATACTTCTTACTTCTTTTCTGTGCTTCACTTCACTCAAACAAACCTGCTGAAAGTCTCCTTCAAAGAACAGAAATGAACCGCAAGTCCCTCTGTGGAAGAAATTCTCTCTTCATTTGCCAACCCCTGTGATAGAAACTCACGGGTTGTCAAATGTATTGGTACACAACAGATTTATGCATTCTACCATTTCGTATGCTTGTAATGCAGAAATGCAATCGCTTCCATTTTCAGATTTTTTTTCGTGAAATGGATGAAGAAATGACATCCGAAGAATTACATGAAAGAATTGAACCACATTGTCGCGCATTAAATATTGATTTGAAAGCTGATTGTGTTTTTGTGATATACGATAAAAGTTATCCACCTGAAAGTGGAGAGTAAGAAATTATTATTGTTGCTATTATTTCGTTTGATAAGGATTTGAATCGTTTGAAGTTTTTACATTGTTTTATGGGGGGTTGTAGTTTTTCCATCGGTTGAAAACGTTGAAGTTTTATAACAAAAACAGAGCATCATAAGGTATTGTATCATTAGCATTAATGGATAAGAAGACATTCTAGAAAATTACGAGAGTATAAGGAACGAATAAGTTCATATTTGGAAAGATTAGGGATGGAATCAAAAATTATACCAGAATCAATTGAACCAGCACCGTCAACTTCTATGCAAAGCGAGATTGATCGTAAGTTTTTTGAATATTTCTCCTTCATTGTCTAAGCTTAACTTGCTGACTTAGAGTGGCACTAAAGATAAATGGTGAAATGATTGCAGATGTGAATAATCGTGAATTACCATTCGACATTGAAATTGATCCGGTAAAAAGAGCATCAGATCTGGAGATAACTGCACGAGTACATTTCCTCAATGTGGACATTGGTCGTAGATTTATGAGTGCAGTGGAGAGGAATGTCGAGAGCACGGGAGTACCGCTTTCGATGGGTGACGTAGTTGTTGACTCGGTTGGTTTTCGTTCATTTCGCACTTGATTTTCACTCGGCTCAAGTACGCTTACTCTATGTTACAGAAACGGTTAGTTGACGCAACTGTAAGCGAATGTGGTGATGTGCTTGAGGTTTGATGTTATGCCTTTCAGGTTAAAATGAGAGAGTGCTATGAAATCGGTTTTGAGATGTCGAAAAGATTGCTCACGTCACTCTACGATGATCTCGCTGACTTAGAACAACGAATACAACGCTCAGGTTTGCCGGTCTCTTTGAAGAGATTCCCATCTCAACAAAATCGATTCGCTGTTGCAGTAATTGGCAGTGATTATGAGTGCGTGCAAATGCTTCTCTTCTTTTTTTNNNTTTTTTTAGTTTTCCTTATTGTGGTAACTGAATTAAGGTATTATTATTGGCATGAGTCAGTTCACACCAATAATACCGCGGCTTATATCGTTAGCGTGCATTACCACGACCATGAACGTAAGCCTCTCCTGTTGCAGCAAATTTTTTGCCAACATGCAACAGACCACTTTGCTGATGTAATGGTGATAACAAATAGAACAAGCCATTTTGCAGAAGGGTGTGTGAAGCGCATCAGCAATTGAGAGCATTAGTTGAAGGAATAACGCTCGACTGTAGAGATGCAAACGAAAGACGGAGAGCTGGCGAGCAATCGCTTGTGGAACAACCTTATTATAAACTGTTGAGCGAGTTCGTTATTTCATTTAATCAGTTATTGTCATTACCGTTGCTGTTTGTATTGTTCTGATTGCAATTTTAGTGGAGCACGGATGTTTAACCAAATCCGGAAGAACATATCTGAAGAAGTCATTGTGACATTCGTGCAGTTAGAGAAGCTAATTCGTTTGCAAGGATCGAGGGAATTAATTAAAGAAACAAAACAAATTATCGACGACTTTCTCGAAGACAGGTTTTTTCGTTTTTCTTCATCTTATCTTTCGCATTAAAAATCGGGAAATTTTATGGTTCTGAACTTCGACTCTGTTTTGACATTTCATTTGACCTTTGACATAAGCCCGTGTTCATTCAAATTTCAAGCAACTGAATCGTGTTCGTTTTTCTGGATTTGGGAGCGTTTTTTATGTAATGAAAGCTTGTGTTGGCTGCTGCCATTAGGTTTGGTTAGCAGGCGTCTTTACACGTTTGCAGGTTGTCAAGAATAAAGGAAGTGAGAATCCGTCTAAATCCACCGTGCTATCGCTATGGAATAACGATGGCACTTCTCAAGGAATTCGGTGATGAAAATTTGCAACGTTTGGCTGTAGAGATCGGTTCAAACGTACAACTTCGTTTACGGATGCCAATGCAACAACTTTACTTTTATGGTATTGAAGCTGAATACGACAAACTTTTGGTGGGTAATTACTCAGTTCCATTTTAACTTCAATCAGTTATCCGATGCCCTGAAAAAGCTGCATATCGAAGAACTTTTTGACGAGAAAACTAAAAGTGTGTGAAGAAATCCTCAACTGAACCGTTGCAAAATGCCTCATCCGTCGACTTTTCCCTCTCGCCGCTTATATCGTCTTTCTCCAAGCAACTGTGTTGCACTGATTGAGCGATCGATTTATGTGCTTAAGTTAATCTCAATGAATTTGTTCAGGAATGGTTACGTGACTTCTCAGAACGCCTTCCACCTACCGATGAATTGAGTGATGTTGAACCCTTAACGTGTGCAATCTGTACGTGTGCACCGAATTCGGAATCATTTTATTGCTTTGAAGCGTGTGGACATTACGCATGTATTGAATGTCTCAACAATCAGGTGATATGTGTCATTCACTTTGTTTACTGTTATTGAGATGTTATTATTCCATCTTAGAGTTACTTTTAAATTCTTATTAACTTTGTTGTTTTCAAATATTGACTTCCAATACGTTTTGTTTTGTAGATCAATTCGGCGATCACGAACCTCGATTTTCCAATTTGTTGTATGGAGTGTGGTCAGCCCTATGTTATCAACGATTTCATGGTGAATTTCCACTTCCTCTGAAGTTTTTACGGCGATATGAAGTTTACGGCGATTTTTTTTTGATTCAATGTTTTCAGCAATTGATGATGGACGGACGAAAAAGGAATTTGATGAGTATTAGAGGTTTGATTGATAGTTCGCTGACATTCTATATGAATCGTAACATCGATAAATATCGTCCTTGTATAACACCGAATTGTCGTGGAATTCATCAGGTTCATTTCGTTCCGGTCACCGCGAATTTTACGTTATTTCTTCCCGATTGATTCACAATAAAATTAATTTTTCTTCGAACGTAACGCCATCAAAAAACTTTTGTCGTCATATTCGTTTGGATCGAAAAAATTCGATGCAAAATGCGATAGAATAATTGACTTGGAGCGTTCTTTTAAGGTGACGCCTGAGCCGAATTTGCATGCGTGTACGTTATGTAGACGTGAGTTGTGCTCACATTGTGGGAACGAAAGTCATGGAAAATTGAGTTGCGAAGAATATGGAAGAATACGAAGTAGTGCAGATGAGTCAATTGTTCAGTGGATAGAGTAAGCAGCGCTCAAATTATTTATTGGACCTTTTCTTATTTCATCGGCTTGAGTTTAATAATCCACCAGAGCCCGAGTATGTTATAAATCTGAGAGTGGTGGACTAAATAATTAATCTACTGTCATTATGAGTCTGATATTAATAATGAGTAATGATTATTACCGATTAATGATGATGATTTCATTGTTCAGAAAAGATCCGGATCATCGTCGCAGATGTCCGAAGTGCGGCACCGTGATTGAGAAAGAAGCCGGCTGTAATCATATGCAGTGTGAGAAATGTAAAATTCACTTCTGTTGGCTGTGCCCATTCTCGGTGATTTATCCATTTTTTCTGTTCAATTCTTTTTTTCTCATTATCACGTTTATCAGCAGCATTTCCAGGCTAGTTTAAGCAAACATTTTTTATTAAAGGGCGAAAATAACAATGGCAGCTGTAGAACGTTGATGATAATCAATATTATTATCAGAGCAGTTAAGTTGAAAAAAGCAGTTGGAGAAACGTTACATTCAGATACATCTTTATAAATAGTTTTTTTCGGTTTCGCGTTCGATTGCGGTGCTGCTGATTATGGTGAGTATTAACATGGAATCAATTTCAGCATGAGGAAAGCGGAGCCGTATATGCACATTTACAAGATGAGCACGGTGGACTTGGCGCCGATTTGGAAGCGCTTCTTCAGGATATTGATGATCCAGCTCAAGCACGAAGGCTAATGGCTGAGCTGAGGAATCAAGGTGCAATGGCAGCAGATGTTTGGGATGACGAATTAGTGGATGATGATGAGTGGTTTGAGGATGAGCCATGGACACTGGAACAAGGAGACGAGGATTTGGGTTTTGATTTGGCTGATAATATTGGTGATGGTCTGGACGAGATGGATATGTGGTCTGAAGATTATGAGGATATTGGCCAAGATTTTGTCGATGATTTCGATGGAGATGACGTTGATTTACCAGATGAAGTGGATCATATGGATATGGATCATCTTGAAGATGACTTGAATTCAGACGATAACGGAATATCGATTTGGGATGACGGACAGACTGAGACTGAGTATGAATAGAGTCTATGGATGTGAGTATGTCGGTAAATGAGTATGCTTTGGTGCTTTCAATAATGAAGCATTTCAGTTTATGTGCATTTGACAAATCATTATAAACTGAACGCTAATAGAGACAAGAATGATTATACATTTGGTGAAAATGAATTTGCCTTTGGCAGCGACAGTAATAAGTACGAGTTTTATGATCATAACCATCATTGAAATCAATTCATTATTGATGCCTAATCATTTCATTACCAAATAATCTTGCCGTCGAAATCGGTTGTTTATGAACGCTCACTCATTCCATTTGTGTGTTCGTCGATTTATTTTTATTTGCTATAAAAATATCTCTTTTATTTTCATTCACCGTTTGTTTTTAAAATTTATGTGTACATGTGAACGTTATAACTACTGCCTATTTCGAATTGTTGATTCTTTGGAAAGTTATTCTGTGAGATTGATTCACTTTGATTATTAATATCATTAATGCGAGATGTACGTTCTTGTTGCTGTAGTATTGCTCTTTTGTTACTTACTTATTAATTGTGCTGTTGCATCTGATTTGCTTCACCGATCTATGTACTGATTCAGTGTGAGAACGATGGATATATGCATANTGATCTTCATACTTATGGTTTTTGTGATGTTTATCTTACCATTTTATTCGGATAATAGGCATTCGCTCTTCACACTTCCAGCTCTCTTTATCACTCTAAAATGAAAGGCCAAATGTCTTGTTCTTTATGACTTTTATCTTCTAATCAGTCTAAATTGTATCGTTCCAACATTGCGGCTAAATAGTGATTATGAAGGCGGCGTTTCGATGGTTGCTTTTAGTTAATACTATTGGATAGTAATTTGTTGATTTGCAAGCAATTCTATGCGATCGTTTTTAATTATATTTGTTGTTGAGTTGTTTTTGCCGATCGGAAATCCTCTACTTCCGTTGTTTATTTTATGGAACTTTTCAGTCTCCATTGCACTATCATATTGCATATTGCACATTGCTAAGTTCCATCTGAATTACGTAATTTATTTTATTCATTGATTCGTGACTTTAAATGTCATTACATGTACCCATATTTATATTTGCAGTACAGCGTCACATTTCGTGCAGAATGTCCCCCTTTAATGTACGACTTCACTGAGAAGGTAGCAAGGGGCGAGGTTTTGTGGAGTTAATGAAAGGATGGCATCTGGTAATCAGCAGCCGTACCGCTTTCATCAACTCAACATCTTATCATTGATATTCCTCTCTTTAAACAAAATCCTCATATGTCACATTGATCGAGTGTTTGTTGTGTTCATAATTCATGAATGATTGATTTGTTTTTGTGGATCTGCGCTCACTCTCTTATTAGTGTGGAAATTCATTTGAAGTTTTTATAAAAANTGAGAATAATAATTGGTGAATTATAGATTGATCGGGCTGTTAACAGGTTGAAAAGTAAACTAAAAATGCTATACGTAAAAGATAATGATAAAAACAAGGAATATTCGAATACTTTTGTGCAACCCTTAAATGCGTGAATGGGTCGTATGTTGAGGACCCCATCGTCGTGCTCGTTCTCGGTGCTGACTCAGAGCAGAAGCCTGAACTCAGCATTCCACAAACTCTTTGTCTTCAATTAAACTGGATCCTTTTTGGCTTTAAGTTCGTCCTTTTCATAATCCCACAAACAAATTTTGTTCCTTAAGTAATATGGTCGTTTGCAATCCTCTTCGGTGACAATATAATTTTATTTTGACAACTGCTCAGTTTGACAACAATGAGCTCGTAATATTTTTTGATGAAACATCGGTAAATGCAATTCTTCTGGATTCGACTACAATTGATTGTCGGTATTTTTGTTTCAGCAACCTTATACTCAAAAGATTCTTTATACCGTTGTGTTGTTGCATTATCCATCAAATTCTACAGTAACTTTTGACTGTGAGGATTGGGAATTACTCTGATATAGCGATGAGTTCTTGGAAGGTGAATTTGAAATTAGAAAGGAAGTGTTGACGCTGATAACGCAAGAAACTGAGATTCAGGCATCAATTAAAGATACTGAAGGAAGCCGAGATGAAAACATTGAGATCGCTCGTAGCTAATGAGATAATCGTATAAGAAATGCACGCACGTTGTTGACATATGGAGAAAAACGCAATTTTAATTCTCTACGTTTTGAAGAAAATTAAATTCTCTATCGGTTCCGAATGATTTCGTTATAGTTCCCCGTACAATTCCATATTGGCCAGTCATTACTGTCGACTTCCAAGTGCTGTGTTATTCTCCATGTTATGCGGCGCATATGTGAGTTCGGAGCGCAAGCAGGCTAGTGTCTTCGGTGGCATAAGGCCGACGTACCGAATTTTCGGGTCTACGACAATTGACCAAGCGACAACTGTCAGCACGACTTTTC